TTTCTGTCTCTCTGTCTCTCTGTCTCTCTCTGTCTTTCTGGCGAGCGCACGCGCCCTGTAACACTTCTTAAAAAAAAAAAAAAGAAAAGGTGCAGCTCATGGATTTTATCAGCGCTCCTCACACATCCAACTCAGAGCAGGTAAGAAGAGGGCCGGCCCCATGGCACAGCAGCAATGCACTCTGCTGGAGGAAGCTGGATATCACGTGGTGACCATGGTTCCAAGCCCCAGCCTCGTCGGCCCGAAGCACTCAAGGCCACGTGTGAGTGGCCAAGACCCCTCGCATGGGAGGACTGGAGGAAAGGGATAGCGTTGTGAGCAGAGCCTGTGCAGGGTGTGTTTGTCTCTCTCACACAGATATCTTTCCATTGTTCTCTCTCTCTCATGTGTGCATGCACTCTGTCATGCATAAAGAAAGAGAAAATAAGCGAGACTGAGAGGACTGAGGAAAGCTGCAGCTCTAAGGGGAAGTGGGACCCCCACCCGCCAGGGGCCGGACAGAGCTGTAGGTCCCAGCAGCCTGAGCTGGAGCAGTCAGAGCAGGACTGGCTTCCGTCTGCTGGGGCATCTGGGCTCTGCTGTCTCGCACTCCTGGTGCCTGCAGTGTGGACCTGGCCACTGTCGATGCCAGGTCCTTCCCTCCCTACTTCCCAGGTGCGTCTCCTGCACCCTCCCTCTAGGGTAGGCTTGGGCTGGCTGGCAACCCCCGTGCCCCAGACAAGGGCCCTGCACGTACCTCCGCCTTTCTCAGACGATTCCCGGCACTCTTCGTTTTCCAGATGTTTCCTCTTTTGTCGCCGTTTCATGGTATCAGCGACAAGAGCCCCTAAGAAGATGCTTAATGCCTAACGGGTATTTTTCCCTACGGGATGGCCCTTCTTGGTTCTCGGGAAGAAGTCCGTTGAAATGATTCGATACAGAAAAATAGTCGCTCTCCTAAATGGCCGAAGAACTGAGACCACCTAGCGAACCTGCAGCCCTTCCCAGCGTGCCCTAGACCACAGGGCTGTTAAGGTTCAAAGGTCACCCAGCCCACAGCAGGATTCTCTGACGTCACTGATGACATCAGAGCATTCTGGGCACCTAGACTCAACGCAGTCCTTGCCACTGCAGGGACCCCATTTTCAAGCACCATTCCTTTGTTCCAATGGAACCTCGCTAATGAATTCAATTCTTTGTCTTTCCAACGTGGCAGAATATTTTGAGATGTTCACATGTTTCTGTTTAATTTTTTTTCTCTCTTTTCCTTTTATTTTACCCTTTCCCTTCTGTGTTCAAGTAAGCAGCAGGCCGGGCTCACTGCTCAGGGACCTAGGGTGGGGTGAAGGCAGCCACAGCTCTCTGATCATCCTGACTTTTATTTCTAAAGTCCCCAACTCCATGGAAGGGATGCTTGAGCAGAGCCACAGTGGAAGCAGGGGTTTTGAGATTCGACACTTTGCGTTTACCTCCCACATCACTGGGAACTGTGGACTAGGTCAGAGAGAGAGGGCTGTGGGCACGGCAGGGAGGGGCCTTCGAGGTGTGGTTGAAGCGGTCACTGCAGCAGAAGCTCCGGGAGGGGAGGGCGGTCCTGCACGTCCAAGCAGAACCGTGGTGACCTGTCCGAACAGGACTCTGGAGCCGCAGACTTTGAAGGGTCCTGGCAACAGCACTGATGGGCACCCAACAATCACCGTGGGCTCCAAAAACCAGAGACCACACTCACAGCCCTGCCCTCGCAACCCTGGTCCTGTACGATTTCTAAATAGGGACGGCGGAAACTCGAACAGGACGTCAGCAGGATGGAATTACAAATGAGGCGGCAGTATAAAAAGCACTTGCACACCTGGGCTCACAGGCAGTCCATCTGGATCCTGATTCTAATCTAACATTAGCGGCACCTCGTTTGGAGGGGGCGGCCATGACCCAGTTGGACCAGAGGTATACAGGGACTCGGTGGGCTCCCAGAAATCACTGCTGGGATAGAAATAGCCAGGGGGCTAAGGCGAGTCCGATTTGAAGGACGCTGCCGGGTACCTTCGAGTCCTTAGGCGGAAGGACAATGAAGAAAGGGCGGGGTGGCCTTGTGAAAAGTTGCTGATGAGACTCCATCTTCCGGTTTCTTGGAGAACCCCTAAAACAGAAGAAGTAAAAAACATGTTTTTAAATTTGTGTGGTACAAATGTTCCAACGTACACAAAGTAAAGAGCACTGTATGACAGTCTCACTCAGTCCGACCATCGTTAATCTCCTGTCATTCTGGGGCCGTCCACCCCACGCACATATTTTTTTTAAATTTCTTTGGCCATTTCTTTTAGTTCAGGTGTTCAGGGGAAGAGAGGGGGAAGGGGAATTGCTGTAATTTAAAGCAAATCCCAGACATTAAGTCATTTCTCCTTGAATGCAGCAGAATGTACCTCCATCAGATAAGAGTTTTTATAGCATAACAGAAATATCATTATCTCACCACACAATCCTAACCATAGGGTCTTCATATCACTTAGTAAGCAAACTACATTTGATTTCTCCCAACTATGTCAAAGTGCCTTTTCAATCTGATGACTTAAATCAAAGTCTACACAAGGTCTACACCTCCACAGTGAGCAGTGAATTTCCTAGTCTACAACTTCTCCCTTCCCTTTACGGCATTTTTTTATTGAAACACGAATTTGTCCTGTAGAAGTTTCCATGGTTTGGAATGCTGGACTGCATCCCTGGAACGTCATGTAAGATGTTGCCGGTTAGCTTTGCAGCCTTGTGAACAGGTAGTTAGATCTAGCGAAGGTCTTCCACTTAGATTCAATTTCTTGTTATTACAAGATTATCTTACAGAGGGTGCTGTGTGTCTTCTCGTTGCCTCTCAAAAGGGAGCACAGGAAGCTGTCTCCATTTTAGAGGTGTTCAGGAAGACCCATCAGTGGGGCCAGGTACTGTCGCCTTGGTTCTCCCACCACAAGGTGCCGTCACTGGACTCCCACATGGCCACCCACAGTTCGAGTCCTGGGCACGGTGGATTGCTCGCTCGCACTCGCTCTCTCTCTCTCTATGATACACACATGTGCCATCAGCTTTTCCATACAT